CATACTTGTAGAAGAATACCACTGTCCATAGGATGGCCACACCTCCGATGCGGTTAGCGCCAAGAAGAAGAATCCATGCTGTATGGATGTGTGTGGTGTCACAGAGGGTTGCAACTACAACAGTGAAAGTGAAGAAAATCTTGCCATGTGTCTCTCTGTTCGAATCCACATGATGCATGGGCAGAACTAAATGTATTAGACGTCTCGCAGAGGGGGTTGGATAGTGTGTAGCATCATGCGGTGCGTTTCGGATGCAGTGGACCTGAATAAGGACCTGGTTGCCCCAGTCAGCAATTATTGGGGGTTGTGTTTTGGTCGGGATTCATGCCCTCAACGTGCATTTCAGTACTGCCTCAATTCATTAGGGATCTGTATCCTTACCTTGGCGACTACCCCCATACACCTTGACTTTGATGCCCGCAAATATCATCAACACTTTCTACTGCACGGGACTACCAACACTCTTTATGATGGCACGCAGCCTGCTTATCTCGTTTTTTTGAGGTGTTCGGTCACACTCTTCTCTACATGCACATTCTCGCGCAACACCGTTTCTCGCTGCGGAAACTCCCCCTTTTTTGTTCCTCCAACCCATTCCTATCCTGCAATATTGGAAATTTTTCATCAGAGTTTGTAAAACTTGTTCTGCAAAGCTTTCGAGGCACGAACATTCGCCACACTGCAGAAAAACCCCAACCCCCAAAAACCCTGCCCATAGTTTGGTGCACTTGTCCCCCAGAGGGTCCGTCCGTCTTTCAAATTGAAGCTGTATGTACGTACATGTTGTCGCTATTCGGAGCATTACATGGATCGTATCTATGAGAATAGCGGTTTGTACTTTATGTACTTGACTTCTAATCCATTGAAGAGGGAATGTCTGCTATTAGATGTTACCGGAAGATTTCACTGGACTTGCACAAAAATGTTGCAGTATAATTACCGTGTTTGGACCAAACCTGGTTTTAAGATCCCTGCCCTCAGCTATGATGAGACAACTAGGTTACCAAGGCCACCGTCCACAGCAGCCACGCTGCTGCACAACGCCTTCATACTCACTGGTGCCTGGAAGGAGGCAGAGAGAATTGTAGCATGTTAAATCCGGACATTCTAGTATTAGGGCACATTTCATAGAACTCACTGTACCGCTATGTGTATGTATCACAGAGACCAAAGAAGCCACAACGTAGGGTGTTAGTCACTCAATCAACTCCTTACGAAGATGCGTAGAATGACACTGCATTTCCAAGCAGTGAGTCAGAGCGAAGTGGAATCGCGAGAGCTCACAGTAATGTAGAGCCCGCTTAAACACTCTAAGTGCATAATGATCTTGAGAGGACCATCAAAACGTTCACTGTGATATGATGTTGGAGTTAAGTTCATGTATTATGCTGGAGGTTGGTAGTGTAGCTATTAGGTATAGTCAAAATCTGTACTCAAACGATAGATCAAGATACACAATACACCAACAACCTAGTCACTGAGTTAGCACGTGTCTCCCTACTAGTTTCAGTTCACTGATCACATGCGACACTACGCGGCACACTACATCATCCTACTCCCCCTCCAGTGAGTTGGCGAACGAGTCCACTAGTCCCATTAGTCTGTCCGGAAAGGAACATGCCACCGAGCGATGGTCCTAGCAGGAACATACGTGGCAGCAGGAGGTGGTGAGGAGGAAGGGTGGTAGTGGAGGTTGTGTCATTGGGCTTGATTCTAAGTATGCCGGCTTGAGGCGTCTAGAGAAACTTTGTCGTTCTTCTCCGTTGAGATGCAGAGTAAAATACTTTCTGCTCTGTCAAGTACCCTGAATGGCCCATCGTACGGCTGTTGCAGAGGTTTATGTAGGGTGGTCCTTGCGCACAACACATGTGTGCAGCTCGCGAGCTCCTTGTGACATACTTGTTGCGCTGAGATTGTTCACTTATTGGTACGGCTCTGAGTTCACGCATTGCGGTCTTGAGTTTTGGTGAGTAAGTGGTTGTTTCTGTGATAGTATCAGCAAGTCGTGATGAAGAACTCTCCGGTAGCCTCAAAGTCGTGCCATAACGAGTTCACATCGCGCTGCACTGCAGATCAGTCTTAAGGGCCGTACGAATGCCGAGAAGGACATTGGCAGCCGCTCTGTCAGTGCAGTGCAGCGTGTGGGCTGGGAGTGCTGCCTTAAGCTGCCTGTGAAAACGTTCATGATTCCGTTGGCTATCGGTGATAGGCATAGTGCGGAGATGTTTGCAGCCAAGGAGCTGGAGAAGTTGTGCCCAAAGTCGCGATTCGATTGTCTCCCCGATCTGTCGTAATGTGGATGTACGCCGAACGTGCGATCAACCAGCGGTCAAAGCACGAGCACTGTTTCGGCGTCATATCCGCCATGGGGAAGACCTCGGGCCACCGCGTGAACGATCGATGCAGTTAACAGTAGGTCTGTCCCTCTGATGGCGGCAGGGGTCCGACGATGTCAATGTGGATCTGATCAAACCGTGTGTCTGGGGTCTTGAATGCGGAGATTGGGGGATAGTGTGACGTTGTACTTTGGACCGCTGCACAGGAGGCATTCGCGTCCAGATCTTGATGTCCTTCTTCATACCTGGCCAAACAAAACGCTCTGCATGAGTTGTTGTGTCGCCCTGCGTCCTGGATGTGAAAGGAGTGTAGGGCTGTGAAGACGGTGCGGCGGAGTGGTGCAGTACAAACGGACGAGGAGATGCAGTACTCGTATCACAGAGGATCGTGGAGGTTGAAGCCGAAGAGGAAGAGCCGTCAAACGAGGGACGTTGACGAGGACTTCAGGAGTGCTTGGAGTTCCGAGTCCCCGGTCTGGGCCTGTGCTAAAATTTGAAGGTCTACTGGTGTTGCTTGTACACTGTGAATGGCATTCACGGCATTGCGTGAGAGTGCATCAGCCACCGGGTTGTTGAGTCCTGCTACTTGCCGCATATTCGGTTGTACATTGCGAGATGTACAGTCCCAGATGTCGGATCTGTGAGGAGTGTACTTGTCGGACGAGGTTGCGAGAGCGAATGTCAGAGGTTGTGATCTGTGACGACGTGAAAATCACGGCTCCACCAGATTCCCTAAAATGCTTAATTGACAAGTACACTGCGAGGAGTCAACGTGCTGTAGCGAGTCTCCGCTGGGCGGAGCTTTTTGGAGAATAAACAGTGATGCCATTCGGCGCCGATCTGTTCTGTAAAACGGCTCCAACTGCTCTGTCGGATGCATCAGCCATGATGCATGTTGGTGCGAACGGCTTAGGGTGTGACAACAATGTGGAGGTAGCGAAGACGTCCTTGACGGCTGTGAAGGCTGCTGTTGTTGCCTGATCCCAGTTGAGTTTACGTCGCTACCTTGTGGTGTGGTCAGGAGACCATTCAGTGGCTCTAGGATAGAGGCACAGTTATGAATAAAACGGTGTAAAAGTTTTACCAGACCCAGGAACTCACGAAGTTTGCGAATAGAGGTTGGGATGGGAAACTCCTGAATGGCCTTAACTCTCTCCTGCAAGGGCTTGATACCGTCTGCGCTGACTCTGTGCCCCAAGAAATCCAGCTCCGCCACTCCGAACTTGCATTTGGAGGGGTTTATAACGATACCGTGGTCACTGAGGCGTTGCAATACCAGTCGCAGGTGCTCTTTGTGCTCTTCCAGTGATGCACTGGCGACGAGCAAGTCATCGATGTACGCATAGCAAAAGGGTAGGCCACGTAAGACTTGATCTATAAATCGCTGAAATGTCTGGGCAGCGTTGCGGAGTCCGAAGGGCATCCGAACGAACTCAAAGAGGCCGAAAGGGGTTGTGACGGCTGTCTTAAGAATGTCGTCTGGTTCCATAGGAATCTGATGATAAGCTCGCACCAGGTCGATCTTAGAGAAGATTCGGGTGCCATGAAGATATATCGAAAAGTCTTGAATGTGGGGTACAGGGTACCTGTCGGGCACGGTGCAATTATTGAGGGCCCGATAGTCCCCACAAGGACGCCAGTCACCTGGAGTCTTCTTTGGCACCATGTGGAGTGGCGATGACCAACAGCTAGCTGATGGCCGGATGATGCCTAACTCCAGCATATGAGTGAACTCCTCTCGAGCAATTTTGAATCGTTCCGGTGATAGACGACGTGTTCGGCCGTAAACTGGAGGGCCTGTGGTGGTAATGTGGTGTGTGACGCTATGTTTGACAGGGGCAGTGGCCACACATGGCTGAGTGACTGAAGGGAACTCTGAGACGATGGCCTCCAATGGGGTAGCTGGGTTCCGTGGCGGCAGTGATGGACTAGGAGACGCTGCAGCAGCTATAAACCCATTCACTTTCAGACTGGTAGTAGTGTCAGTAAGGCAGCGACGTTTCATGTACACCACCAAGTCATAGTGCTGTAAGAAGTCAGCTCCTAGAATGGCATTGGCAACATCCGCCACCACAAATACCCATCTAAAGGTGCGACGTAGGCCCAGGTTTAGAGTCAGCGAACGTGTGCCGTAGGTAGAGATGGTGGTTTTATTAACCGCCTCTAGAGTGAGGGTGCTCGGTGACTGTTTTTCCCGGAGAGAGGGTGGGATAACACTGACTTGGGCTCCTGTATCGACAAGAAAGCGAGAGAGGAACAGGTGTCAGTTACAAAGAGTAGGCGGCTTGGAGTTAGGCCAGCGACGTCTGTCGCTTCTACGTACTGGCCCTGTCGTTTCCCGAGTATGAACAGGGTGGTGTGTACTTGCAAGCTCTAGCGCCAAAGCATGAGTGGTACCAACACATTCCCGTGGGCGCTGTGTGAGGCGGTGGGGAATACCGTCTTGACGGGCGGCGAGGTGAGGAAGATCTGTGACCCGTGGGCGGTGACGACGTAGCGAGGGTGGCAATCGTTTCTCTAAGTTTGGCTATTTTGGTACGGAGTTCGTCTACCTCCCCTGCTGGTTGTCGGCTGGTGACACCGGCCACGGAGAGTGGTGCAGCAGTGACAATTCGATCAGCCAGCTGGGCAAATTCCTCAAGGGACTTTCCTTCTCCTGATGATGCCAGGACCATACGGACATTACCAGGACGTCGCTGGAGGAACATTTCTCGCAGAAGTGTGGCATCTGAACCGGCTGCGTCTTCTCCCAACAACTGTTGCATGCGACGAAGTAGCTGGGAGGGTCTTTGGTCGCCCAACTCTGTGGACTGGAACAGCTGTCGGAGCCTACGCTCCGGGGGGAGGGCGGTGCGGGTGATTAGTTGTCGTTTCAACGTGTCATACGGCGAAGCGGCGGGGACACGGAGAATCAGATCCCGGACTTGCGTGGCGAACTCAGGTGAGAGAGAGGCGACGACGTATCGTATTTCGTCTTTTGAGCAGTGATACCTCGTGTGCTAAATTGGGCCTCCACTTGCGCGAACCACAGATGCGGGTCAGAAGGCCAGAACGGTGGCAACTTAAGATTGATGGCCGAGACTGCGTCGGTTGCGTGAGCTTCGTCTGCGACGGACATGGCTGTAGATCACGTCGTGGTCACCAATATAGTATTGTACCAACGATAGATCAAGATACACATTACACCAACAACCTAGTTACTGAGTTAACACGTGTCTCCCTATAGGTTCAGGGTTCACTAATCATGCGCACTACGCGTGCACACTACAAGGGCAAATGCAAGAGCTCTGTAAAGCATGTCCACTAAGGTGCAGAGTAGTACACATAATGTACCTGAGAGTATGCAAACTCTAGTCCAGAGATGGAGAAGAGGATCTCGCCCACAGTAATGAGGATGTACATTGGGATTTGGAGGAACAGACTGACAGAGTTTGGGGCATGTAGCTCCACCACACTGGCTGAATACTGGCGACAGAGAGGGAGGGAGGGAGTGAGAGGGGGAGAGAGGGAGAATAAGAGAGGGAGGGAGAGAGAGAAAGGTACAGAGAGAGATTCAGAGCTCCTTCTTCTTCTTTGTTTCATTTCAACAACTTCACTGCCCGTGAGAAAGGACATGCTCGCTAAACTTTCAATCCACACATGCAACTAGTCATGTTACAGGTGGTTTAAACATCACGCTTAATGGACTCATTCATCCATTCATCCTTTACACATAGGTCTTAAATGAGTCCATTAAGCATGGTTGGCTCCTTACCAAAATCATGGTTACCATTCATTAATGTGTATACCTTTTCATTGTCAGTGTTCCCCAGAACAATAGTGTATATTCCGCCAGTCTGAAACTTGACAGAGTAACTATCTTCCCCTGATGCTGGTCTTGCACAATAGTAGTACCTGCACCACGATAAAACATGACTGCTATAGTGGTAGTCAAAACAAAGAATGGGTTTTACAACATCCATTGTCATCAAACTGCCCTTTGGACTATACATGCTTCTTTCCATGCTCCATTTTTGTGAATGTGTCAGTACGTAAGGGCTAAACTTAGTAAATATAAATAGAGCCCGGTGCAAGGATGAAATTTTCAGTAGCAGTTTCTCACTTAGCCCTTACATACTGCCAAATACCCGCTGAAATAAGTCTTCAATTATTTCACTCTTTGATGCACAGCCATGAATGCCGTGACATACATGTACAATGAAAAGCACTAAAGTGCAAACCCTCGGCGAACTGCGTAAACGCGATACCGCTAATTGATGGGCTGGGCCGTATATGCGTTTACTCGTGGTCTCCCGCAGTAGCTCGCGGAGAGTCTGACACGGGCTAGCTACAGCAGTAGATAGCATGCGGGAGTCGATACATGCCCTCGGTTGAGACTTCTTGCGCCTCCAAGGAATGCAGAGCAGGCTCGTCTTGTCGAGGTAAGCCTGGGCTAATTTGCATATTGGCTTGTTCATTTGCTTTTCACGCCATAACTTTTGAACGCAGTGTTTATACGAAAATCGCCGGTTTTAAATGAAGCAAATGTAGCGCAGAACCCGTTGGCGTAGACTTTTGGCGATCACGTTGCGCCTAGTGGCAAAAAACGGGAACGGACACTCAGACACACTGACCAAGTACTGTAGCCCTCGCTGCGCATGCACGCCGAGGGTTAATAATGTGTGATTACTAATGCTATGGCGAGCGCATGCCACCAACTTTAGAGTGTAAACCTTGTGAACTTCTTTTAGGCGTTCACATTGTCCTATGTGTATGTGACAGCATCAGAGTCAACAGAACACAATTTATGCAAATGCTGTCACACACTCGCAAATTCTTTTTTCTGCTCAGCTGTGTTATGCACTCACCTCTTGGGGTCCACTTGCATTGAGTCAGAGACGGTTGGAAGGGAATATGTTGGGTGAGGACCTCACTACCACAGGACTCCAGGGAACAGTTGCACCTCTTGGAGTAGAGAGTGAAGTTCACATACGACTCGGGCACCACTGTGTTTATCACCCTGGAGACACATCACACAGTACACAATAATGAAGGGCTGAGAACCAGAATCGTGTAACCCACAAAGGCCCATTTATACCCCTTGACATGAAATGCATTTTGGAAGGAGACAATCATTTGCAAAATGTCACTTTTTAAAGTATACCCTACCCATATTTCCCCCATTTTTGTACTCTTGGCAATTTGCCATACTCAATTATCACTCTGGTTCCCTTTAACTATTTCCTAGACAATGAAAATCTTTGAGGGCTGAGAGAGAGTTAGGGTTTCAGTGCTGCAGTTGATACTGTACTGTAGCTGTCAGTGACGTTTTTGCCACAAGTCCCGCCCAGAAAAGCTCAGAAAAAAGTGCGGTCACGGGTTCGTTGATTGTCTTTGTGTTACCCCGTGGAGCAAACGTGTGTAACTACGGCGATCCGGCTGTTTCACACGGTATACACCACTGTATTGTAGCACACCTGAAGCTGGACTTGCCGCCATCGGGGAGGCTCTCTTTCTCACTTATCTGTTGCAGGGTAATAATTAATTAACATATTATTATAAAGTGCAAAATTTTTATGTTCACCTACAATATTATGTGGCCCCAACCATTGCAAAAATACATGTGGCATATAGGCATTAATTAGGGAGCAAAGTGAGCCTGCCTGAATTGTGGGGTTCTCCACATGATGACGGTGCTGACCATGACAATATGAGCATGCATGAACATCACACACAACAGTTCAATCGTCGCTTCGTTCCATTCAATCTAGTACTGTAGCGTCTTCAACTCCCCATAGAATACAGTGGAACCTCCAATAAGGGACCCTCCGAGATAGGGACGACCTCTCAACAAAGGACACTTGGTTCAACCCCATGCTAATAGTTTAGTGTATTATTTGACCTCCGAGATAGGGACGACCTCTCGACAAGGGACAAAATACAGTTGGCCTCATAGAGTCCTTTGTTCGGAGGTTCCACTGTATTCCGATGTACGTAATTAAGTAGTACCCTCAGTCAGACTCACCATAGTAATGCCGAGCTCTCCGTCATCATTGTAGACCACCAGCTGGACAATGTGCTGACTGGAGAGGGAGAAATTGAGGGACGACCCACTGCTACAGGGGTCCTCCGCCGAGAGGTCAGAGGTCACACACAGAGTCTGGTTGCTCAGGTGACCAACAGTCCGGGAGAAGGTCTGTTTGTTGAGAACATGAAAAATTTTTACATGAAATCTAAATCTAATTAGACGTCGGCAGATTCAAATTGACCAATCAGATTGCGTAAAACGTGGATTCTAAATCCCGTATTTTCCAAGTGCGTGTTTCCATGGAGACGCCCGCCAAAAAATGGCGTCTTCGATGGGGTGTGGCAAGCTTCCGCGCAAAGAAACTCGCTCTGTCGCTGAGAGCTCGCCGCGACGACTTCAAACTCGCTATATCCGATGCTTCTTCGATGAAAGGCCTCTCTACGATGCAAAAAGAAACTAAACTGAAGACCTTTTTAGCTTCCCCCGGCAAGAACGAGTCTTTCGGAAGACGGCAGACCTGGACGATTTTGAAGGCCGGCACGGCCTCCGTCTAAACAGGTTATACTGCTTCTCAATGGAAATACACGATTTAGACGGCCTCGGAGCCCTTAGTAGCGTCTTCGCTGCGCTCAGACAGCTACAGCTCAGGCCCCCTCGGGCCGTCTAAATCGCGTATTTCCATTGACGCACAGTATAACCTATATATATACTGTCGTGAGCAGGGAATCAGGTAATGTAGACCACTTGCCAGGATAGCGAACAATACCCACTGAATTCTGTGCATAAAACATTGTAGTTTGACTTTTATTTAGTGCATAGCTAGTTTGAACTGACCAATCAGATTTGTCGGTACGAGGTTCCTGATTTCTCATAGTAAACCTCGTACGTTACAGAACTAACATGAAAACATGATAGAGAACCTTGTTTTTTTCCGACATAAATACATGATTTTTACATGTAGGAGAACATGATCTGTAACTGATAATATTAGTGGCTCTCTTGTATTAGAAGTGCATGATCGGATTGAAGTGTGCTGTGTTTATTTGTTGAAGGTGATTACAACGGACTGACATGAGTGGAAATTAAATGATGACGGCATAGATGCATTCATAGAAACCAAAGTGTTTGCAGAGCTTCCAGTACCAGTAGGTGGTGTTTCAAAGTGAGAGTTGCTCGCAACAGCCTGAGTTGGTTGTGGTGTAGATTCTTTGGTAGTAGGAGGTGCTCTTTTTGCCCTTTTGGAGAGGCTAAGAGTGTCAGACACAGACTGCTCCTGTTGGTCTGATGTACGCTTGTATGAGCGAACACCCTCTACGCTGCGATGCCCAGTGCGCTCCATTATGAGTTGCTCGTCCATTCCTGCAGCATACAAGCGGGTGGCACTCGTTGCACGTAGTGAATGGTTTGTTCGAAACCCCGAAATCCCAGCAGATTTGCACATTGAGGAGACAACGTTTGACAAAGCATTGTGCCCAAGGGGCTCACGAGAAAACCAAACTGTGTCGGTTGGTTTTTTCAGACACTGCAGGTAGAATGAGTTGCTCTTCGGATTTGGAGGGCAGCGACTTTTGTAGAGGGAGAAGAGCCTGACGAAGCAGCGAGAAGGGTCGGTCAGGTTTGCGTGATGTTTGACTGTTTTGTGTCCGATGCGAAGTCCTCTCAGACCTCCTGGTCTGTTCTTTGATCCATCCTCTGTGTATTCAAGGTACGGGCGCTCTCCAGTCCGCTCTACTAGAGAGATTTGGGAGGGATTGAATCGAAGCTCTCTATGTTCCTTTCCACTCCTCAGGGCAAAGTATAGGCCATTCATGAATACCATAGTGTTGATGAGAGCCTTTGGAGTGTGGTCTCCAAGTAACCCCTTCTGCCATAAAACCTCCTCTTCTTCATCGGTGAGCGGCTCTGCTTGTTTCTTCTTGGATCCGATGCCAAGTTGTTGTAGACGCTTCATTTCGGCATCAAGAGTTGAACGGAACTCGGCAAAGAAGGGGTCCTTAAAGATGTCAAGCGATGGGTGGCCGTTTTGACGCAAGTGTCTGAGTAGTCCACTACACAGATGGTGGAGAGTTTGAGGTGGATAATCGGTTCCATCTTTTTTGCGAACCTCTAGAACAAATCTCGTAAGCCAGTATTGAAGCTGGGGAGGAGTAACAGCAGATAATGGCGGTATATAGGTGCTGTAGGTCGTTGCATGATAGTCACTCCACTCCTGCCACACTCCTGTGCAGTATCGAGTGTCTTCGGCAGTTTTTTTGGGAATAGAGTCGGAGCGTCGCTTCCGTATTTCCTCGTCGGTTACCCTAGCGGTGAACCGCGCTGCTGCTGGAGGGGGAGGGGGAGGGGCTGGTTCGGAAACGTCGTCGTCATCGGCGCGGCTGCTAAAACTGGTGGGCGGCGGGGAGAGGTAGGGGGAGGGGCTGGTTTGGGAACGGAAGTAGCGTTGGGGGCGGAGTCGCACAGAGGCGGTTTGACAGCAGAGTGTGCGACGAGCGAAGGGCCGCCGGTTGTTGTCGATGTCTCGCTGGCCTCGAAGACGTTGTACGCTGCGAAAAACAGCTCGTCGGTCTCGTTTTGCGTTATCTGCAGCGCCGCAGATGACAGTAAGTCTTCTAACTCCATTTTTCGCGGCGTTACTGAATCGTTTTGTATGGAAGATTTCGTCATGGAAACACAGACACAGTGGCTCTGCACTAAACAAGTTAGTTACTCCGTATACTCGGGAACTACGGGATTTCAATGAACCCTCGGGCCATCCGCGTAGTGCCCTCGCTGCGCTCGGGACACTACAACGCGGAGGCCCTCGGGTTCATTGAAATCCCGTAGTTCCCTCGTACGGAGTAACTAACTTATATATAGTATCGACATAGAAACGTGTAGGGAAGCTTTTTGAGTTTATACACTATCCACATAAAATCGTCTGCTAGTACGTGTAGAGTACAAACAGTTTTGTGTAAGTATACACAGAGAGTCTAGGATTGACAAAAGGGTTTGTTTTACCTCTGCTGACGAGAGATTGAAGTTTTGGTCAAATAGTCTGGTGTTGAGCGTGTCTGGACTGGAGTTAATGACAACAATCTGGAATTTGAATAAATGCATAATTAAAATGGAAATGTTTTATAGAGCAGTGAATAATTGAATGACGATAGAATGTTTCAAGCGAGAAAAGAAGAACATTGGTCTCAAAGTCAAGCACAATGTGAAACGTCGTTCTCAGAGGTAAAATAGTCACAGTAGAGGAAATACCTTACACGCATTGTGGCTGAGTTATCATTATACTAATACGTATTAGCTGTCGTATGTAGTTATGTATTGATGCATGTGAATGTTCAGATCCAGAAAAAAGAGTGCTCCCCACCCCAAGAAAAACCGTTAATAATAAATTATTAAACTTTAATGAGGTGCACATACATACCTTGGCGTGTCCACTGCTGATAGAGGTGTCGGCATTCTGTACACTGATCTGGACAAACCCAGCCACCATGAAGGACAGACCTGCTATCACCATCCCCACCACCATCCGCTGCAGAGGCCTACAGTAGTGCAACACAATGTGTATTACTATATATACTGTGACAACTGCAGCGTACCGTTTGAGCAGACGGCATTTGGCGGCGAGAGGGTAGACGCCAAACTCAAAGATGGGTATGAAGACGAGGATGAGGATGGGATTGAGGGCCTGCATCTGGTCCGGTTTGACTGCCACTGTCCCCAGCTCCCCGTTCATAAGGACAGCCTGCAGCGTCCAGCGGGAACCCTGGGAGGAGAAACGGGAGGAAGGGAGGAGTAGAGATGAGGAAAAAAGAAACGAGGGATGTCACACACACTATGTACTGCATACAAAATTGAGATGAATATTAATGTCGAATGTTTGATAGTGGAACATGAAAACTGAAACAGTGAAATTCGACAAATTTCACGGTGCTTTGTGGCTTGTTGGGAAATTAAAGGTACAGTAGGATGATAAGGTACAGGTTGAGGATACCTGCTGGTCAAAGAGGGCCCAGAAGATGGGGAGAGGAAGGAACATGACCAGGACCCTCAGCACCAGTCGCACATCCTCTACGAAGGTGCTCTGGGACACAAAGGAGACACATTATACATGTATATCATACATAGACACAGTTAGAGAAGAATATAATTGGGAACGGGAATTTTGCTCTCTCTTTGGAGGTACGTAGCTTTAAGCCTCAAAGTGTATGTCCTTTACTGAGGGGTTCTGAGACTATTGGTTCCTGTAACTTTATAATAGGTTCTACTGTAACATGATCGGGGTGTGCATGGTGGATTACCTGCATGTACATATGTACGTTTATGTGCACTATGCGTGTAGTAGATGCTTCATTTCGAAGCTGAAATGCATATTTTAGTTCTAAACTGGTAGGACTTACACTGTATTTGGGGCTGGCATACTGCAGCCAGTGAGTCTTGTGCAGATATACGACCAAGCTTCACACGGCGATATATGGCACTCTAGGTTGGGAGAGAGTGGAGGGGAGGGGAGGAGGAGGTGGAGGGGGAGAGGGAGAAGAAAGGATGAACGAGGAGGGAAGGAGGGGAGAGGGAGAGAAAGAGGAGGGAAGAGGGGGAGAGAGAGGCTGGGAAAAAGGAGTAGGGGAGAGAGGAGAGAGTGGAGAGAGAGGAGGAGAGAGAGAGGAGAGAGGGAACGAGAGGGGAAACCACAAACACACAGTCTGATGTAGCACACTGAGACATCTCGGCCACACATTCGACCGCATCTTCATAATGCCACGTTTTCCGCCTCCTCCTCTGTGTTTTTTGGCCTTTAGGTGCATACGGAAGCATTCGCCTACACTCGCTGCCCATGCACTGCTCAACTCTCGTCGACATCCGGGACAGACAGATCTCTTCTCGACCTACATCTCTCGCCGCGCATGATGGCGTGGGGGTCAGAGTGTTCAGCCCAGGCACAAACAGCATGCTCCCAGGCCCGCACGATCGCTCCCGAGCCAGAGAAGGAGGTCAATCCACGGCTTCTCCTGGGATTTAACATCCTCATTGCAAATACCCCCTATAACAAACAGGCGTTCCGCCTTCGGGCTAGCTACCGGGAACCATCCCCACTTCGACCCGCAAAGGATATCACACAAATCAGCACTCATAGTGGGGCCAGTCTCCCTCTTCTACACTCTCTTCGCCCTCTCCCCCGCGATTAGCATAGATCAGCTAATGTTTTTGCTCTACTCTCACCAGTACTCGTAAGCTCGTCTAGTGGATGTCTTTTGCTCAAGAGATCGCCAGCATGTGGTACCGTCGAGGACAAGCTTAGCAAGGACTCATTCTGCTTGGCTTTCACAAATCAACACACAATAGACGCCCCTCTCGTCCCCACCTCCGACACCTGAACCTATGTCACCTCGTGGACTGTGAGAGGGTGACATGCGAGATGTGCATGGTCGAGAGGAGAGGGAGTAATAGAGAAGGCAGAGATGGGGACCGAGCGAGAGTGCAAATGAGTGGCGGCTAGAGGGTGGAGAGACTGGTAGTGTGAGGGGGACAGCGAGTGATAAACATGCGTCAGGAGATGAGCTGCTGAGTGAGTGATGATAGAGAGGTCGAAGGGGAGCGAGGGGAGAGCAGATGCATGTGCGACCCGAGAGTGAGGCACACTACCCACAAACTACACCGAAGCAGCCTGAGTTCAATGGTGGGTTCATACTGGTAGTACTATGTTTATAAATTATTATACACTAGTACATTTTACACATTCCTCTACTGATTCTCCCTAGAAGCCAACACATATACCAAAGGAGCCATTCCAAACGCCGCATGTCTTACCAAGTGATAGGATCATGAGAACAGCAGGAACCCCAAATGCCAGAGTAAAACACTCTCCGGTTCCAAAACAGTTTATGTCATCTGAACAGAGAATTAGGGAGTAGGGATAAATCTACAGCATACTGTACATACACAAACACAGGTGTGTATGTTTGCACGTGCAGTGCATGTATTGAGATGACTTAGATCATAGCACAAACAGACAGACAGACAGACAGACGGACGGACGGACGGACAGATAGATCGACAGACAGACAGATAAACAGACAGACGAGAGAGAGACGGACAGACGGACCTCTAAGGATAGGAGTCAGGAGTGTAGATATGACACTGCCAGCATTGATGGAGAAGTAGAACAATGAAAAGAAGTACCGTCTAAACTTCTCCTGCAACAAATAGTCACACAAACCATACACTAACTCAGTGAGGGACACAGTATATATACCATATAACGGAAAACTGAGGGAGAAAAACATTGCGTTTTGGTAGCAAACTCAAAATCTTAGAAGAACACTTTTTTGCTGGTCCCGCAATACAAATTGTGCTGTCAACAATGTTTCATGGGAAAAAAACTCTCACAGCACAAAAGTTTCCTCTGTCGAAAGTCTCTCGCTATATATGGTATGTACATAAGTGCTGATGGGTTATCCAATGAGGAAGCTTGCTATATGTCCTTGGAGTGTTACAATGCTACTTAGTGATGAGGGGAGAGAAGTTCCCTCTCTCACCTGGCCGTCAGTAAACTGGTCTCCACCAAAGGCAGACACGCAAGGCTTGATCCCACCAGTTCCCAAGGCAATTATAATCAGCCCCACTGATGTAAGGGCTCTGGAAAAGAATGGAAAAGAGATCATTATGGGTGTAGCACATACAACTATACCATACACAGATGTACATTCCAGTGACACACCTTAATGTGGCGTACTATTTGATGTTGACCACAATAATTATACAAAGTGCAAAAGTAATAGAGCTTAAATCTGCAAAGAGCTGCGATATCATTCTATAGTACTGTATACAGCGGAACCTCTGATGAACAAGGGACACTATTGGGCCAAGATTTATCCATTGTAGAGAGGTCATCCCAATCTCGGAGGTCAAGCTATAGACTAAAGTATTAGCATGTGGTTGAAACAAGTGTATCCTTTGTAGAGAGGTCGTCACGTTCTCTCGGAGGGTCCCTTATCGGAGGTTCCACTGTATACACCGCTGTGATGGAGTGAGGGTAACTAGTCTCACATGTTGGCTCTAACGGCATTGCTGAAAGGGATGGCAGAGACCGAGACCACAATGTTCCCAATGGCATACACCACCGACAGACTCAGAATTGTCCTATAGCAACAGAGAGGGAGAGAAACAACACAAGATAGTTAGTCAGGTACGTATACAGTACGTCAATAACTGTGACCAAAATTACCAAAGAAACCTTGGTGGACCGGGATACATCAAAAAATTGTCCTGCCAAAGACACCAGACGTTTTGACCGAATATTTCAGTCCTTTTATGAATCGCAACTTTGCCAAAAAAAGCAGTTCACGAGTAGCGTAGTCCCAGTTCCCCTAACTTTAGTATTTTTTTACAAAAGTTACCCAAGGAGCGAGGCGATGCTTCAACTACTACATAATTTGACACACTTGCTGGAATACATTGTGTAACAAGATACCGGCTTACACGTAAAAACTGGTGGATGTGTGTGTTTTGCAACAGTCTCACAGTGAGAAATGTGTAAATAAACTTTCATCAATTGTATCATACACTCTTTGGTGCATAACATTGTATCTCAACATGTGTCCCTCAGTATAGATCACACTGTTTTGTTATGGAAGTTAAAATCATGACCAGCTATACGTATATAGGAAATGCCACAGAAAAGTTAAATGGCCTGTAGATCATTAATTTTTTCCTGCAGGGCATCAATAGTTGTACAATGCATATTATATGCCACCAAAGATTGCAAAGAGCGTCTTACTGCAACTCGGACACTAGGGGTTTTACTGCTAAAGCAAAGGCTTTCTGCACAATTATGCACACACACACACACTGTTTACATTTTAAGTGGTTTGCTAGTGTCTTATTCCTCAGTGATGCCCTCATATCTGTGTACATGAATAATGGTATTACTGTGAATCCTCTGAAGGAGGGACACATTGGGGACATTCCAAGCCGCCCCTTACACTGAGGTCATAATACACCAATGTATTAGTATGGGGAAGAGCTACAGTGTTCTCTATAGAGAGGTTGTATGTATATATCCTCTATTCGGAGGGTTAGCATACAGTTGTTACATTGACAGCTAACCCGTATTTCCCGAGACAGGAGTCGGAGATGATGGCTCCCAGGAGAGGCAGGATGTAGCACAAGAAGATGAAGGCATGGTAGAGTGCAGTGGCACTGTCATCACCGAAACCCAGCTGGTGGGTCAGGAACAGAACCAAAACAGCTATTGGAGGAGGAGAGGAGGAGGAGGGGAGGAGGGGAGGAGGGGAGGGGAGAGGGTGATAAAAAGGATGAAGGGGAGGGGGATAAATAGGAGGGGGAAGAGGAGGAGGGAGAGAGGCCGGAGGAGAAGGGGAAGGGGGAGAGGGAGGGAAGAAGGGATAAGGTAAGGGAGAAGAATTAACCAGCGGTGTGATCATTGATGAGCAACAGCCACTGCGAAATTCCAGTTTTTTGAACGATGTAAGCATTACAGAATGGACAGCACCATGTACAGTACAAACAAATACCCTCAAATCGCACAGTTACGACTAAGTTGGCTCCATGTGTAATCTAAAAATGTGTGCTTGGTATATATTGGTGTTACTTTTGTGCATAGCAAAGCATTAATGCAGAACTGTAACACCACACCGTAGTAGGTGTGTGCACATTGTGTTGGTGAGTGGATGAATAGTGGTGTGGAAGAGTGTGAACGTGAGCAGAAACTAGCTGAGGACTTAGTTTACCCACACAACGAGAAGAGGCTGAATGGGGCAGTCTGTGGTAGACCCAATGCGTGCCTACACTTTACAACACACACACACACACACATGTCGTGAGACTATTACCTCTCATGCCATAGTAGGAGAACCTCTCACAGAACTCATTCCCAACTATGAAGAACACTGAGAATGGAAACTGCTTTGTCCAGTGTTTCTCCGGCTGTATATACAATGACAGACAATATAAATTCATTATACACACGTACTGTACTGTACATGTACGTCCATAGGGAAAACATACAACACAATAGACAGCATCAAACTGAGCATCAACGTACAGGCTTGGATTCAGTCATTCCACCATTGTTCCGTTTCAGATCTAAAGCAAAAACACAGGCAGTATAATAATGGTAGTACAGTATGAGAATAGGGACAAACCTCTGTTTCTCTCTGAGACCTTTTCATCTCCATATCCCGAGTCTAGAGAGTAATCACACGTGAACAAGAAATAAAATACTCATAGTAACATATTATACAGATGCTCAGTTACAATGTACAGAGCACGTCTAACATGGCCCTACTGGCAAATGCTGCCCTGGGGCAGCGTCCTCGACAATCACTGATCATCATTAACCCTCGGCGCCCACGTGCAGCGAAGGTTACAGTACTTGGTTTGTACGTAAGTGTGTCTGTCTGTCTGTCTGTCTATCTGTTACCATGTTTTCTGCGACTACATACATGCAACGAGACAACAACACAGCGATAATCACTACACTGGCTTCGTTATTAAAAAGGTGATTTTCATATGTAACTACTGCCTTCAAAAGCAAGTAAACAAGCCAATTGCAAATTAGCACAGGCTTACCTCGACCGCATCTGCTCGCTCTGTGTACATCTTGAAGACACAAAAGGCACAAGAAGTCACAACGAAGGGCATGTATCGACTCCCGCATGCTATCTACTGCTGTAGCTAGCCCGTGTCAGACTCTCCGCGAGCTACTAGCGGGAGACCACGAGTAAAGGCATACTAAAAGCCCAGACTATCAATTAGTGGTACAGCACAGTTCGCCGAGGATTTGCACTTCAGTGCTTTTCATTTATTAAGTGGCTATAGCACTGCACAACCCACAGCCCCTAATCCCAATTGACATTATTCCAGTTTTGTTCAATCGTAGTGACCACCAGGGGAAATGTGCAATTTGCTATATTGAAATCTTCTATCAGATACAGGTCATTAGTAACTGGCATACAAAAGATCTGAACTCATTGTGATGTTGAAGGCAACAGCTAGCCACTGTACCAGCCTCTCTTCACCAACTTCTTTCCGTTTGAGACGGGCTGGTACCGAGAGACTAGATTATGTACCTACACATAAGTCAAGAGAGGGAGCCTCTCTCTTGTCTGACTGAAAGCGGGTCTGACTCGCCTGCCTAAACTCCTGGACAGTATTAATTCGTACTGCTATACCTGAAGGCAGGAGGTCGTCTGAATCCTCCGTATCCCACTCGTCCCTGTCCCTGCTTGCAGACATTGTGAGGAACTCTCCCGTATCTCTCTGGACCGACGACTGCGATCCAACAAGAAGAGAGGTGAGCTATAATGCCTAGAAAAACAGTCACGGGATGACGACGACGGACGATTGACGATGAAGAGGGGGGAAGGGCGATTTATGGGCGTGGTTTTCGATCAGCTGCAGGGGCGTGGTCATCTCCTTGTGGCCGGCTAGGTAGACGGACGGACTCATGACTTCGTCTCTCCGCTCGCTGTCGGGGGGTGGCGGAGGGTTCACGTGGCCGTGGCAGTACTACTTTCCCCCGTTCTTCACGGTCCAGGTGAACAGCGACACCAGGGCCAAGCAGCTGGAGGCGTGGTGTCGCCTGGTACTCGACTACCACCGGGCCCACAAGTCGTACGTCCTGGACATCAGCGAGGCTCAGTCCAGCCAGCTCTTCTCCAACCAGGACATCAACCGTATCCTCATCTCACCAGCATCAATACTTATCATATCTGTGTCCATCTTTTCTTGACGAGGCACAGGTAGATTACCACCAGAAGGCATAGATCTTGTACTCAAAACACTAGAATCTAGGGGTAAGTGTGTACATGTACTATTCCTTATGCATTCATGGCCATATTTAAAGGCAGCATTGTCAATCCTCCATAAAACTCCACGCCTATTCCAGAGTTGACCTCGGGTCGGAAGGTTAAAGGGACCGAAACCCATTGTCATACAATGACGGAAATATATAGGTATATTATTATACTCCCTGATGACCGGCCAAACAAACTGTTGCATAATGCATGCGTGTTGGTATGTGGCGGTGCCTCAAGGCTAGCATTGCATGGACACTGGGTTGCTGCCAAGGTAATGTGGACAAAAGCCCTCCCAACCCTGTTACTCTCTTACCTTCTTTCTCCCTTCCTTATGTTTCTTCACAATCACACAACACACACTATTGTTTGTGTGGTGCAGGTAATGTAGAGTGGCAGAACAGTGAGAAGAGTCGGTGCCTGGTGATGTGGAGATCTCCCAGAGAGTGGGGGGAGCTCATCTACAAATGGGTTTGTGTACTGCATGTACAGTGGAACCTCCGCATAAACGACACGTTGGGACCAGGCATTTTGTATACGGAGTTTTCCTCTCTTTTGAGGTTAAAACTGTACTAAAAAATGAACATTTGAAACCTCAAAGTGTGTCATTTATTAGTAGGATTTTCCCCTATTGTGTCATTTTGTTCTTGACCACCCGCCCACCGAAGTGGAGCAACCCAGGGAAGCCACTGCCTCGCAACGAGAAGACTGTGCATATCAGGGAACCGGGGAGAATGCACTTTTCCAGGCACTGGAGTTTCTGCTCTAATCACAGGGTTCTCCCTATCTCCTTGTCTAGCAGCTGTAATGCATGCAGCTGCTGTTCTGCTTGATCTTGCTGCCATCATTGATTCGTCATACATAATAATTATTTCTCTGTAGGCCCAGGCCTCGGGACATGGTAACAGTGTGTGTACTCTCTATGAGTTACATTCTGGGGAGGATACAACTGAGGAAGGTAAGAAACACCCGTGATTTTATTTTGCACACACAATTTCAGTAGTCTTGAGATGTTGTGTAGATGTTGGGCTGCCTGCATCCTATGCTCTGGCACTTCCCTATTACTATGAACCCTCCGGGCCTCCGTCAAATTGTACTTGATGTTGGCTGTTTTACCCGTGAAAATTGACACCTCTTAACCAAAGGATACGTAGCTATCTTCACAATGTTCCCCTAATTCTGAGGTTTGATTGTAGCGTGGGTATAATACATTATACAGTGGAACCTCCAAACAAGGGACACTATGGGGCTAACAATTTTGTCCCTCGTAGAGAGGTTGTCTCTATCTCAGATATCTCAATAATATGTGGTTGAACCAAGAGCCCTTTGTAGAGAGGTCGTCCCTATCTCGGAGGTTCCACTGTAGACCAAGCCATGTCTTTTCTTCTTCTCTCTCACCCACACCCACACACACCGACAGAGTTCTGTGGAATCGAGCTGTGGGTACTGCAGAGGTCCATCCAGGCCCTGGCCAGAGAGGGGAAGGCTGAGCTCATCCCAGGAGACAGTGCAGACGGCTCTGACGCTGGTGTCAAGTTCTTTTCCTGAGACATGAGATCTTTGTGCATGCTCGGGAAATATTTTTCGTTTGTGTCAATGAAACACCCATTAAAGGGAATGTGGCAGTACGTAAGGGCTAAATAAACAATAGAGCCTTGTGAGAAGTGTTCTCTTTTAGTAACATTTCCTTAATTTAGCCATAATAACTATACTGCCACATTCCCTTTAACTTTTCCTTTGATCTTGACATCCTGGATATTAATAATTATTATCTTGTGACTATGTATGCCAATGCTGCGTGTTGTATCTAGTGTGTATGAGTTGGTTTTCGAGTCACTTGAATTTGGCCTTCTCGTTGGCGAGAGCGAGGTGGCGAATGTTACTGATGCAGCCAGCGGCAGCCTCCTGGAGTATCTCGTCTCGTGATCCTACCATTTTCAGCAGAGGCTGGGGAGGGGGAAGGAGAGAGGTGGATAAGAGGGAGAGGAAGAAAGGAAGGGAGGGGGTGAGGGGGAATGAAGGCAGAAAGATATTGAGAAAAGCAGCACAGAAGTGATAACATACACAAGATAACTGCAATAGCAGGATTTTCATCAAGAATTCATTACTCTGAGAGTCTTGTATCAAAACACACGGCTCTAAAGGGCTTGATGTTGTCTTAATAACTATTTTGGAAGCAGCTTGCCATGCCGTCCTCAGTGCACGTTAAAGGCCAGCTTCCAAAATACTGCATGGAACACTGACTGAAATTTGCTAGACCTACTAAGACCACGCAAGTCTGGGTGTTGGAAATAGAATCGCCGTCTATTCCCCAGACAGCACAAGACCGAGTAAGACAATATGGGGACAAGCCTCAATTTGGGTTTGCAACATTCAAACTAGAGTTTGAATAACGTGTATTACTTTGAACTTTTATTGTGTGACAACTACACGTGCTAGCCTCTGCCTTTACCTGGACGACCTCAGCCTCATGCATGGTGATGCAGTTGTCAGGGTCCTTGGAGAGCTGGTGGAGGGCACAGGCAGTGGCTCTGTGGACCAGAGGATCGGGGGAGTGGAGGTAGGTGACTAGTGGGGCCACCGCCTTCTCCTCTCCAAACGCCACCCGGTTGTTCCTCCACATGCAGCACCTGGTGGGGAGCAGGGAGGGAGGAGAGAGGTACATATATAGTGAATAAAATAAAGGGAAAAGAGTGAGGGTATAGACTAAGGTGGGGGTACATAAAACGGAGAGTGGCTCTCATTGCTTCTAGTACCTCAAGTATATGTATACCTTGCGATGGCATCTGACAAGTGTTTCCTCAGGTGGTCATCAGTCTGTGTGATAGTGTATGAAAAAGGTACGTGATGGCTTACATTAATGATCTATATACCAAAAAGTATATAACTTGTGAAGAATAACAACGTTTGTGATAATGTGGTGAGTTGACTCACTCGTAAACTACACAGTATGTGTTGCTGACAAAGAATCTGGTCAATTATAGTTGCATGATTATTGTGTATCCATGTAATAGGACCAGGGACACTAAACTAGTAGTGACTAGCCAAAGGTTTTCTGTGTGATGCGGCCGGCCACTCACAGTGTCAGTGAGAGCAGCCAGGAGGGGAACAACGCCGTGATCAGTGATGACTCCAAGGTTCTCCTCGTCCTGGGCAATCTTGGCGATGGCAGCACACACGCTGGCCAGGACCTCTCTGTCGGGAGACTTGAGGAGACCCACTATCAGCTCCAGACCGCCCACAAACGACCGCACAAGCTCTCCCGCATCCTTTGCATGTTCGATGCATGGACATATGGCCCAGGCAGCACACGCCTGCACCTGCAGCGATATCCAGAGAAGAGGGCAGTACTCACAGCAAGTTATAGCACCCCTTTGGACACAATGGGGATCTGCTTAAATAAGCAAAAACTGATGTATAAAGTATTTGCGCCTAATATTATAACCCCATATAATTATTATGGACTTATGGAGGCTCTGGACACATTTATGTGTCCGGCGGCTGGTTAAGTGTTAAATCATGTGTCATGTGCAACAACAAGGGCGCAAGGCAAAAGCAAAGCAAAGAATTCAACTGTACCCAGGTCAGCTCTAAGAGAAGAGCTGCCCTGGGTGGGATTTCAACCCACGACACTCTGCAGTGCAGACGAGCGCTCTACAAACTGAGCTACCAGGACAACTACATACTTCATTCTAGGCACATAAAAATTCCCAAAGCTCGTTTTCATGTGCCCTTAACACACGTGTACTCATGACACATAGAGTACAAGTAACCTCAGTGTTGGGTGATTTGAGAAGGGACCAGAGTAACCTCACTCCATCGTTCTTGTCTATCAGCCTGTGTGCAGTCACAGCAATCAACCATTCTGATATAGACTACTGCTAGAGAGTGAGTACTCACGTCATGCTGTCATTGTCTAGAGCACAAGCTCCCACAGACTTGGTGGTGTTGATGAGCAGCGCCTGATTAGTGCCCGTTAGCAGTTGAACGAGAGGGACCACCCCTCCAGCCTTCCTGAGGGCCACTCGATTGTCTGCGTCTGTTGCAGCACACTCTCCCAGGGCACCCACAACATTCACCAAAACCTACAGCAAGTTGGTGGGTTAAGATAGTAAGAGTCGCTTGGGGCAGAAGACCTTTCATGATGGTTCTTAAAACTTGCAAAGAGTTTTTAAAATGCTCCCAAGTGAACTAGGAATTTTTCACTATCATAATTAATACACGATAAAGGGGGAGTGGTCACAAGGGTGAATATTAATAGTAGACAGACCTCTTCGGGTTGTTTAGAGAGCAGAGACACCAGCTGGTCTATCACCCTCAGTTTCTTCAGTCTGTGTGTGGAGAAAGATACATCTCATCACTATTGCATCACTCTTCCGCTGTATGACTGATTACAGCCTTGTTGTAAAGTCAATCCTTCATTCAAAGTAGTCAGTGAACCGTAAATAAACTCGGTATACATATAGACAGGGGCGTAGCTACAAGTGATTTCCTACATTGCCCGGAAATCCCCCTTGATCGCCGAAAAGTAGACGTGGTCTTAATTGCTACGTGCGCGTGCACGCAAACACGCGTTGCGAGGTGAGAGATGAAGCGCCTCTCCTCTTTCGGCCTTGTACACCTCAAACTGCCGGTGATCAGAGTAGAATAAAAGAGAGGTACTACAGTAGCTCCAGTGTCAGCAACGAGAAGGTGCATGACGATCAGTCGCGGCGTTGTTGACACACGGCCTGTGCGCAAGCACGTGTAGTTATGCACATGTGCAATGTTGGCGGGAAACCCCACACCTATGAGTCCTGGCTACTCCCCTGATATATAGATGTGTTGGTAAAGAGGGCAACTCACTTTTTGACGTTCTCGGGGCTCTTGCTGCACTTCCAGACGGCGCCAGTGGCGGCACAGAGGAGGTCTTTGTTCTTAGTGACCCTCAGGAGGGTGGCCAGAGAGGGTAGCCCCTCATGCTCTCTCACCAGATTACGAGTACTCTCCTCCTCTGCACACTACGACCAGTGATACAGTGGAAATTGATACATAACCATACAGTTCTTAGGGTAGGCTATGTAGTGCAGTTTGAGGTTAAGCCTGGTTCACAATACATTGCAGGACTCCGCAAAGCGACGCAAAGTTACAGGAATTTCATTACAACGCAAATTTGTGTCGCTGCATTTGGTCCTCCACAATGTGTCGCGCGACATCGCAGCAGGGAAGAGAAAACTCTTCTATTCACTACATAATTCCTCACTTTAGGCAGCTGATGAAAGGCAAGTTTCACCACACACACACACACACACACACACAGAGAGACTAGAGAGAGGAAGAGAGAGAGGGGGGAGGGGGGAGAGAAAGCAACCTTGAAAATGGCAGAGGCGCAGTGTTTCTGGAGTTCCTGGTTCTCCATCTTGAGACCCCTCACCAGGTTCTGCACCATACCCTCAGACCTGATCAACTCCTGGTACATCGGCTGCATCAGGACACATGTAACAACGATAGATGTTCAATGTACACAGAGTCAGTCAAGTGTGGTTGACTTGGTTAAACAAGTGAATTCCTCATATGTAACCTTATGCATACAGGCCCCTCTCCATACTCGACATGGTTTAAGACTATACATATTTGCAGAGGGGAGCTAGGTATGTAGGCACTTTTTTTAACTGAACTGCTAACATACGTGTATTTTCATAAAAACCATGGAGTGATGTCATAGTGTCATTTACATACAGAAATATTTATGGCTACATTATGTGTCAATAACTTAACACCAAAATTAGTGGAAGTGAACTAGCTCACATTGGTGAACACTTCACATTAAAACGTCACTTTTATAGGCTGGAATGGCAGCTCTTGTTATTTCCTTTGAAAAAAGAGTCGGTTCATGGGTGTATTAATTGACTTGTTTGCTTTACCTTTGCCTTGCTACTACATACTTCGTTGTTACACACACAAACTGTAGAGAGATGTGTGTGTGTGTGCAGACCAACCTCAGAGGCACACTCCTGGAGAGTGCCCACCACCGGAATGAGAACGTCCACCTGGTCAGACTCTAGAAGTCTACCCAGCAGTGGCACAGCTCCTGTCTTCAGTAGAGCCTGTGAAGCAGACATGAGGATACAATGCCCGCAGTAAGGCATCTTTTACCTAATCATGTATTTGTGTCTAGCAATGCGTTATATATAGTAAGAGGGACACTTTTGAAGGAGAAAAGCAAACCGGGTCACAAACAAATTTCGCAGTGAAAACAACTGCTGATAACTAGCTGGTTCTGCTTACGAATGGCCGGCAACACATACATCATGAAAATACTTATGTAGATTGATATGCCCTGTATCTAGTAGTACCTCAGCTGAATCGAGCTGATGGAGCACGCGCCTAGAATACACAGTGTCGTGGGTTTGAATCTAACCCAGGGCAGCTCTTTTTTCCCTCAGGAAAAGTGGTCCTATGTTTCTCTGTGTTGTTGGGTTTGCTTTTGTCTGGAGACCTTGTTGACGCATGCAGAGTTTAACCCCAGGCCGACCAACCTTTCCCCCTTACAGAGTAGTGTTTCTTGGTGGGTGTGAGTAGTTCTAGTTGGTTACTGACCATCTTGTTGCTCTTGCTCTTGGAGCAAGACCAGAGAGCCAGTGCTGCACTGCGAGCCACCTCAATGTCGCTCCGTTCCCCGGTCACTGGGGTGCTGGGGCGACCTGGGCTGGACAGCAACCCCACCTGGTGGCCAACAAACAGAGTCAGTAATAAAGTGGCAGTATATTCACGACAGAGAGATACGTACGTACATACATAACTGCAATTACAGCCCCTGGGCATAACATTAAAATGTGTTTTTTTCTAAGGGGACTTTACTTCAGGACACTTTGGGGCAATTTGTCATACTTATTTCTTTACCTCTAGGCCCTCTAATATTGGTACGCTTTGTCATTTCTATGTGTGTGTGCCGGCTAATAAACGTACATAGAGTGCAGGGTGCAATAAACGTGCATACTCACTAGTTTCCTGATGCCTCCGTTGTGTCTGACAATCCGTCGCGCCCGTTTGAACTTGGCCACGTTGGCAATGGTCTCTGCAGCCAAGCACTTGAGCTCTCTGTTGGGGGAGGTCAGGATCTGCACCAGCATCGGGAGACCTGCACACAAATCATCGTACATGATAGTCTACATACAGCCCTTCGAAATTAATCTGAACTCTGAACTAAAATGAGTCACTCTCGAACCCAAAAGTATAAGTCACGATATCACAATGTTGCTATATATGCAGCAAACACATTAGCCATTTCGTTAGTCAGGAAGGGTTTGGCTAACAGACTCGTAGAAACTTTAAGGGTGCCTGGAACTCGGGGTAAACCGTGCCTCGTTCATTCTCTAGAAAGCTACACCACGAGTGCATAGTTGCTGACCGGCAAGGTCCACAATGGCGGTACAGGTGAGACTGTTTGTGGAGATCTCTCTCAGGATCTTGAGGGTCCCGATCATGCACCGAGACTCGTTGGTCTCCAGGAGGTTAATGAGCAGGTCCAGCCCCCCAGAGTCCCGGATGGCCAGCTGACACGCCTCCTGCTTCAGGTCAAACTCCAGGAGTGCACAGAGGGCTATGACAGTGGCCGTCTGGTTCCCTCCCTTCAGGTACTTGATGAGCTTCTGGATCTGCCAGTACTCGTTGGGGAGGTCGGCATTCGACTCCTGGAAATTCACACATAATGCTCATAACACAAAACATTTTCTTTCAGGGAATAAATTGTTATTGGCAGAGAAAAAATGCAGAATTGGGGTAGGGACAGGGAAGTTTGCAACTTTTTCTGCTTCAAACGGTTTCTGATGGTAATAATAGGTGGGTGCATGGGTAGGACAACAGTTCAGGCAATATGAAGGGACGTTAACAAGGCTGTTATTTTTATGAGTGTACCCTTTTTTTTTCCAGCCAACACTTTTCCTTTGGCTTATTTGCACTTTCACTACCGTAGAACACATTATTTTCACTGGCCTATTTGAACCCATTTGCTATGTATATATGACCAGAATGGAGAATGGTATTTGGAAAGTGTATGGCCCTACACACCGGTCTCCTGTCCTGCTGGTCCTCCTCCTCACTTCCCTCGGAGCTGCTCCCACTGTCATCCATGTCTCCTGAACTGCGACTCGCACTGAGTCAGTAGATGTACAGTACGTGTCATTAATTTTTGAGGGTAGAGGCATGCATGGTAAGGTGTAGGGTAGGGAGGGTATGTAGGTCCTTTTGACTCATACTGTACGTAGTGAAGGGTACAGTAGAGTAGGATACAAGTCAGGGTAAGAGATGAGAAGGGTAGGGTTATGGTAGTAGTTAGGTACGGTAAGGTAGGGCGGGGTAGTGTAGAGGTGTTGACGTTTTTTGACTCATATTGCATAATAGTATATACAGTAACCACACACGGTGTATATACAACGTACTACGCATTACTGTAGCAGATGACTTACTGTGACTTGGATCTTATGCTGGTGGCTGATTTACCCATTGACTCAGGAGGTATGACTATATGTGCCCTCTTCTTTGACCTATGTAATAGGAGTGCACACACATCATGCATATTCACAGCAATGTGCGTATGATTTTGATAGTGTTAAAGGGAATGTGTAAGTATAAGTATGGGATAAAATATGAAAGAACTAAACAATAGGGCCCAGTTGAAGCAATTTATAACTTTAACCCTTATAATTACTACCGCATTCCCTTTAATCACATATGTAAGTAATTAAAATGGGGCTGACCCTGCGGTGGCAGTCTTGATTGGAGTCTCTGGAGCAGTGACGTAGAGCTCATCGCTGACTCCCAGAGACTGCCATTTCTGGGATGGCTCCAGACTGGACACTCCCTGGAACGTGCTCTTGGGGATACCTCCCTTACCTCTCTTCCCACCTTCTGCTGTGGTTGGTGTCTTCCTGCAGAAGTGAAGGGATTATGTGAGAACAAACAATAGCTTCAAACACACATAATGAAAAAGTGTATAGCAAATGTTGCTGTAAGGAGAGAGAGAGCATGGATATGTATGCAAAAGGAAGCAGAGTTAATATGGTGGAATCTCAAAAAAGTGAACATTTGGGAACTCAAAGTGTGTCCTTAGGTCTTTACTATTGTGTCCTTATCTGAGGTTCTACTGTAATTAGAGAGGTGAGTGTACATTAAGAGGGGAGATTAGTGTGTGCAGGTTAGCTTTACTTGGCTGGAGTGAGAGACTTTCTGTCTTTCATGGGAGTCTGACGTTCTGCTGACTCAGCGGTGTCGGGCTGGGCTGGCTCACTGGCTTGTCCCTCTCCTCCTCCCACCCTCCCATCCCCCACATCACACTCCTCCACATACACATACTCCTGCACCATTCGTGTATATGACACCATTATGCCAGTATAGTAGTTATTATGCAGCGCACATTAGCTCTTTTCTCTCTCTAATATCCAAGATTTTAGGTAAACATGAAAATTTAATACTTTGACTTTAGTACTACAGCCTTTTAATTAGTATGCGCCAACAAACAACATTCGCAAAACCTCTTTGGACAAGTTCCTTCGCATTCATCAAAGTTTTGAACACAGTAATTTCCACTCCGAATTGAAGTGGGTGATACAGGCTGATCTACGTAAGTAAACTGGCTTCCAGATTGTGCGTTAAAATTGTGCAGGGGGAGGGAGGGTCTGGGAACGAGGCTACTTCAGAGTTGCCATAATAAGCCATTCAGCTCAGCACAAGTCTGTGGCACTGTAATTACGCATGTTGCAGCTATGTAGTGTAGTTGCACATACGTACATTATACAGGGCACCTTATGAAAGCAGTAGTCCAGCAGAGTGCATCATGACAGACCTGTTTCTCGATGTTGGCTGTGAAATGCTGGCTGGATGACTTGAGAAGAGCCACCAGGGTAGGGTAGACCTGACCTCCCGACCTCTCAGGGTCCACCTCACCCGTCACCTTCACTCCCTACACAACAACACACAATAATTCTACCAGAGTCTTTATCATTACACTGGGTTGGTCTTGCATGTTCATATGCACTACCCGAGTATAAGTAAGAACTATACTTGAGAATTTTTGATCTGCGACTTATAATTAGGCTGGGTTCACAATATGTCGCATTGCCCAGACGCCGAAGATAGAAATGGATTCTATTCTCGCGACGCAGCACCGCGAGACGATGCAACGGGGCAATGTGAACCTGGCCATATATACTGCGGGTGTGCAAAAACTGTGCA